GGGAGGCAGAGGCAGGCAGATCTTTGTGAGTTCGAGGCCAGCCTAGTCTACAGGGCGAGAGCCAGGAAAGGCGCAAAGCTACACAGAGAAACCCTGTCTCGAAAAACCAAAAAAAAAAGGCCTTACAACCCACTCTCACTAATGCCTCTTCGTATTCCCTGCACGAATTTGTAGTGACAAAATTTGTTGAATGAACGCTATCCATGTTTCCTTTGCCGATTTTTCTTTAAAATAGAATTTTTTCTTTATACGAGCGAGCGGGTTCTTTTAACTAAGATGCCTACCCAATGCCACAGAAACGTAAAAGCTTTGGCTCTGAGGCCCATAAGCAACAGCCCGGGTCCCGAGAGGGGGGGATGTGGGGAGGAGGAAGGGACAGGACGAGGCACCGGGCCGCTCCAGGCTGGGCCGGCTCGAAGCACAGGGAAGCACAGAGGTAGATCCCGTGGATTTACCCGTCCATCCTCTGACCCCCGCTGAAATACTGACATCCAACTTGGAATGAAATCCAATGTCACACACCCGTGAAAGCACAGCGAGCCCCGTCCGGGAAGAACCGCACCCTGCCGCTGCCACCGCCACTGCCGCCGCCAACGCGGAACATGGCGCCCACCCAGCCCGCCCAGCCCGCCCCGGCGAGGACCGGTGCAGAGCGGCTCCGACTGGCCAAACGGTGCAAGCAAGGTCAGGCCAAGGCAGCCCTGCTCCGGCTGGATGGGCGGTGGCTCCCGCCCGGGGCTTGACCTCCGGGCTCGTGCTGGGCCTCATTCTGGTCTCCCGAGGGCTCGCCGGCCGCGGGGATGGGTCTGTGGTTCAGCCCCAGGCCCCATCCCTCCTCTGCTCCGTGGGATCATGGTGTCCGGCCCAGGCTGGCTCCCCTGGAGGGACAGGAGCCCAGCGGCGGGAGGTTCGCATTGCCAGACTGGTGCCTGGTGTGGCGGGCCCAGGCCAGGCTACCCCGAGCCATGGCGGTTTGAACAGGCCTCTCCCTCTCAGGGTCTGCTACCCACGTGGCTCGCTGCTGGCAGTTCTTTAGGTGTTTTGTGCCCTCGGGGTTCTGTCCCGACAGCCACAGATCTGGGTAGGAGGTCTTTGCGCCAAGCTCTCTCTTCTAGGCAAGTTGGTTAAAGCTCAGGGAGCCAAAGAGCCGGGAAGCCGGGCTTGGAGGCAGTTCACCGTTTGTGTTGTGGGCCTCTCCTTTGTAGCCAGCAGTCCGAACACAACAGTCAAACCTTCCCGTCACCTCTTCTCAAAATAGTTACTTTGAAAAGCTGTGAAGTGGCTAAGGCTTAATTATTTTTTCAAAAGGAATACTTCTAATAATTGCCTAAAATTGATCAGTAGGATGTAGACGATTGGGTATTCTTTTCTGAAGTTTCCAAGCTAATAACTAGATAAAATCACTTCAAAGACTGGTTCGCTTGGGTTAATCTAGTAATAATACGTCCAATGAAACTTTTAGACACGTTGGAAGTATTATTTAGAAGTAACGTGACATTTCCTAGAGGAATCTTGAAGTCTGTTCTTCCATTGCACAATTTAATTGATGAAGTTACAGGATGTTGAAATGTGATGCTTTGATTGGAACGGGTTTGTTGCCTATTCTAGGTAAGAGATGAATCTGGACGCCAGGGCTTAAACTCATCTACTGTGGCCCCGGAAGAAAGGATCTAATATATAGACCCTTTCCGTCTCACTAATTTATGTAAGGGGTATGGATGATGAGCTTTAGACCTCTTTATAGAAAGGATCAGTGAAAGCTAAGCTTATAACTATGATAAAAATTGCTATTTCTGCTGCTGTGAAAAGCCTAGTGTGGTGGCTTCTGCCTGTAATTTCAGCACTCAGGACCAGGTGTGTCCAGCCACAGTGGGCTGGGGCCTCCCACATCAATCACTGGTTAAGAAAATGCCCTGCATTTTCTACATGCAGCCCAGTCTTCTGAGGGAACTTTCTCAGTGGAGGCTCCCTCTTCTCAGACGACTCTAGCTTGTGTCAAGTTGACATCAGACTGGCCGGCACAGTGACTGCGTCCAGAGGTGCAAAGTAATGATGGTGATGGAAGTTTTTAGTAGGAAGCGGGGACAAGGAAGGCATCAAAACATGGAGAGCTTGCTTTAGAAATCCTTAATGGATTAACTCTTTGTGTCCCACATAGAACATTGCAACGGTCTCATTTTGACAAAGAAGTGTATGTGCTCTGTCTGTAGCCTCTGGGAGATGTCGAGTATTTTTGTAATGGCAGCTGCTTCCCTCGGGTTTTGGTGTTTGTGCATACATGCTGCGGTCACATTTCCATCAGCAGGCAAGAGTGGGTACTGTGCCATGGACACTGGAAATGGAGGCACAGAGAACGCTTGTCTTAGAGACATATTTGTAGTGGACGCTTGCAGTGGGAGCAAGCACGTCGTGCAGTCCCAGCCGGCTTCCAGTGCTGCCCAGTGGCACAGAAATTGTGGAAGATAAGGAAGAATGGAACGCTCGTGTTGAAGGACAAATTGAAATATGATCTGTAATAAGTTTTTTCCTCAAGAGTACACACAAGGAAAGAACATATGTGTATGCTCTCTTACCCCGGGGAGGTCCATTCCTCTGACATCTTTGTGTTTGGCATTTAATCCCTTTCTATGTTGCACTGAAGTCGTATCAGGTGATTGATACTGATGGAGTGTGCGCTCTGGAGTGAGTCCATGCTAAAAGAATTTTCTGCATGAAAGATTATGGGAGAGAACAACAAAGATGAAATTTATGCAGCTGTGATGTCATTTAGGACAGAAATTCGATGTGTGCATACAGATGACCTTTCTATTGCTCATTTCTTAAGGACAAATAACCCTGCCCTGTGCCCTCCATTTCAAACATAGAAAAGTAGGAAGACATTTGCTTTGTACTTCTTAGTCCCTTTCTCCCTTTACATCTGCTACAGTCACTGGCATCGTAATTTCTAAGTTTCAGGGGTAGTTTAAAAGTGAATACAGAACACTTTTGCGACATCAAGTTAACAAGGATTTGGTTCTTTAAGTGATAAATCTGACGTTTTCGAACGTTTGCAGCACCCCCTGCTGGCAATGTTATAGAAATTCCTAAATAAAGTATTCTTCAGGCTCCGCTTGGTGATTATTTGAAGTATACACAGTATTTCTTTGTGGAGTTAGTTTTCCTTAGAAATAGTTTAAGTTTCAACGGATGTAATAGAGGCAAAATTTAACTGGAGATAATTTTCATTTTAATTTGCCAATCGGGTTTTGAATAGTGCTTTTTTCCCCAGGCACTACTTGCTGGAGAAAAATACTAGCCAAAATTTAAAAAACATTAATATTCCCAATCAAATTAAATAGGGGCAGAAGTATCTTTTCAAATATTCATATTCAAATATTTATTGTAAATATTTCTACATGTACATCCTTGTACACAAGTCACATACAAGTTTATTGTAGCTAAGTGTCAGTCACATGCAGGTTTATTGTGGCCTGTCAATCTTGCAGGACTTAGGAAGTGGCCGGAGGAGTCTTTGGAATCTCAGGAGCTGAACTGCTGAATAGTTGGCAATGATGACGTTCTAGGAGTTACTCCAGCCCTACGGATAGTAATCACAGTTGTTTAGCTGACCATGATATTTTAAGCCAAGATCTGGCCCCACAGTGTTCATGACAAGAAATAATTAACTAAAAGAAACTAATTTTCGATGTTGCATTAAATGACAAATTAAGCTAAGTGTCAAAATTTTAGGGCCATAAGCATTGTGTAAATTTAAAATGAGATACTGGCTTAATTTAAAGATAAATCCATCTCTTTTAAATGAAAACATATATCCTATTATAAGTATATACTTGCTTTACTATTTCAGCAAGCTGTACTGTGATCATACAGAGTATTACAGCTTGTTCTTTATATTTTATTACATATAAAAGTGTTATAATACTGGTTTACATGTTTCCTCCACTGAGTGTTAAAAGTAATGCCTATTGGATAGGTAGAAGGACAGAGAGGTGGAGGGATGGAAGTTGGATGAACAGGCCTACTGTAGAATCCCAGTGAGTCATCATCTGGCCTTTACTATCTCTTGGATTGCTGCCATAGTTTTGATGGTACATATCATTGGGTGTGTTCTTTCAGTACTGATGTTTTAGTTTTGGTTAAGTGAGTTTTATTTTCTAATAAAGCTATATTTATCCAAAGGAATCTAGTATTATAAATCATTAGAAAGTCTTGTTCAGTAGGATGCAATTATAGCTTATTAATCGCATGCCTAATATAACATAATCTTAAAACTATTAATGGACTTCTCAAAGTAAAAACCCCATGGTCCCAAGTCTCTGTGCTACATGTATGACAAAAATGTGTCATCTTAGTGATTAACATTATGTTATTAGGGTGATGGCTCACATATATGTGTTAGCATAAGTATGAAATTGAAAATGCCCCCAAACAGTTTATTTTCATAGAACTTCTTTCTGCAACTGTGGTAACTTTATTAATTTTTTTATTCCTTCCTGGAAAGATGATATCAATCTAGCAAATTATCTCCAAATAAAAACTAGTGTCCTCCATAATCAACTGAGTCTAGGGCTCTCTGTGGTTATGCTGCAGAGTTTGATGGATGATGTCACTGAGAGACGTATTCCAGAGTGATGAAAAGTAGTCTCATCTTTACGTTTACCTTTACCTATATTTTTGGAGGTAAATTCATAAAATCTGCTCAAATCTCTGAGACTAACCACGCAGAAAGTTACACAGTAGCTGATGTTGGCATGTGCTGTGATTTGGAAAAACAAGGGAACTTGGGCCCAGAGACTAGGTGAAGTTTCCCCTGTCTCAGTGCTGATTGGCCTCAATTACCTGATTAATCTCAAGGGTTGCCTTTTGTTTTTCAGTTTCCTCTATAAAGGATAGAGGATAAAATTATCTTATCAAATGGCCCGGAAGGGTGTTTTACTGAATTAATTAGCTCCTAATATCACTGGGCTTACGTGTAACATTTTCATATTCTCTTGTTGCAGAGTGCAAGGTGTGGCGGAATCCACTGAACTTGTTTAGGGGTGCTGAATACAATCGGTGAGTCTTTTGCCAGTTCAGGAAGTAGATGAGTGGTTTAGAGAGCAGCAATAGCAAGTGTTGTTCCGGTTCACCTGTGGGTCATGTGATAGTGTATTTTACCCTCTCCTCTCTCCTCCTTTCCCCCTCCTCTTTTCTCCCTTCCCTTCCCACCCCTCCTCCTTTTCGTGTGCTCCCTCCTCTTTCTTCTTCCCCTACTTTTATCTTGCTTGCTTTTGTCTGAGACAGGCTTTCAGAGCCCAGGGCTTGTATGGCTAAGGAGCACCCTGAGCTCCTGATCCTTTTGCCTCACGAGAGAGTGCTGGGATTATAGGCCTATGTTACCATGTCCAACATCTTCCATGTTTTTTTGAATACTATCTTAGAGTTTTTTCTGTTTTATGGAATTTTGACATTCTAGTTGGGAATAATATATAAAACTATAGGTTGTAATTTTTTCTATTGCACTTACTCTTTGAAAAAAATTAAGTGTGTGTGTATGTATATGCTGCATGTAATGCTCATAGAAGAACTTGTGGGAATTGATGCTCCCCTTCCATCACGTGGTTCTGGATACTGCACTTGGGTTTTGGGGCTTGGCTGCAGGTGCCCCCAATTTGCTGAGCTACCTCGCTGGCCTTCTATTGCTGTTACTCTTTTCAGTATATATTGTACAGCTCCCAAATTCGGAAGATCCCTGAACCTTGATTATATGGGTCCCAGACAGGTTATGTTGAAACTTAATTGGATGAAATAATTAGGCAAATTAGAAATTTCATAGTTTTGGGGAAATGTCTATTTGTAATATTAATTAGGGAAGTTTTTCATTATCAAGGACTACTAAAATGTTAAGTCAAAAATAGAAGAGAAAACTTGTATTTATTTTGTGCTATGTAATTCCTGAAGGAAGAAGTTTTTGAGATTTATTTTTATTGTATGTCTATGAGTGGTTTGCCTGCATAGATCTGTGTACCATGTGCATGCAATGCCAAGACAGGCCAGAAGAGGGCATCAGATCCCCTTGGAAGTGGAGTTAGGACAGTTGTTAGCTGTCTTGTGGCTGCTGGGAATCCAAAAGGAATCCTCTGGAAGAGTAGTCAGTACTCTTAACCCCTAAGCCCAAACAGAGCGGGATGGCTTTTAAAAATATGTTTAGGTGTTCATGTGTGAAGTTCTTTTAACGCTCAGTGGTGGCTTGCATCTCAGCTGTTCCGCAGCATCCTCTTCTGTAGGTCTCTTTCCTTTCTCAAGACTGTTTGACCATCGTATTCGCCCTTGACAGGTACACTTGGGTCACAGGACGAGAACCTCTGACGTACTATGACATGAATCTCTCTGCCCAGGACCACCAGACATTCTTTACTTGTGATTCGGACCATCTTCGTCCTGCGGATGCAAGTATGGGAAAACTTTAGCTGTTTCAGGGTGGGAAAGATTTTCAGCTTGTTCCCAATCATGGTTCAGATTCTATAATATCGGCTCTGCTGCTCAGTTTGTTGGCACACATTTATAATCTCAATACTCAGGAGACAGAGGCAGGAGGAGCTCTGGTTTGAGAGCAGTTTGGACTACAGTGAGCTCCAGGCTAGCCTGGTCTGTATAAAAAGAATAACCAGGGCTGGGGAGATAGCTCTGTGGGTAATGCTCTTGCCTTGTGAGCATGAGGACCTAATTTTGATCCCTTGATCCCACGTAAAAAGAAACGAAATTCTGATTTGGTAGCACATGCTCTGGGGAGGCAGGAACAGGTGGGTCCCCGGGGCTTGCTGGCCAGTCAGCTTAAACTATGTGATGAGATCCTGGCCAGACTAGAGAACCTGTCTCAGAAACAAATGAAAAAAAAAAAAAAAGGAAGAGAAGAAGAAAGGTGGATAAAGGATTGACACCTGAGGTTATAACACACACACACACACACACACACACACACACACACACACACACACACACACCTCTCTCCAAAGAATAAAATATTAAATTGACAAGTAAAACCCAGAATCCTTAAAGAATATTTGCATGAAATTTATTCACAATGATTATCAATGTAGGAATAAGGCTTATTATTATCTATAGCATGATTTAAAAACACCAAAGTAAGCTTTATATGTTTTGAAGACACATCTCTTATACAAAGTGAGTTAAAGTCAAAGGTTAGGGGGAATGAAGGGTCTCCTTGATCACATTCTAATTAGAAGTTGGGGTTCCCTGAATATAAATGAGCAGTCTATTTTACTGACTTAATATATTGGTTTACTTGCACTTGAAGGGCACATGACTTTGATTGTAGGAGTGTGTATGTGTTCTCTACCTCAGAGACGACTTTGTTTAACATGCATTTCACATTCATTACTTTCCTACTGGTAAACTTGGTATTATTAAATGGTCCAAAGTAAATAGCTGAAACTTCCTGCCTTAGTTAGGGTTACTTTTACTGTAATGAAACACTGTGACTAAAAGCACCTTGGGGAAGAAAGAGTTATTTGATTTACATGTCCTGAATCACAGTCCATTGAGGGGAACCAAGGCAGGAACTCAAACTGGGCCAGAACCTGGAGGTGGGAGCTGATGCAAAGGCCATGGAAGAGTGCTGCTTACTGGCTTGCTCCCATGGCTTGCTCAACCTGCTTTGTTATAGAGCCAGGACCACCAACCCAGGGATGGCGCCACCCACAATGGGCTGGGCCCTCCCCTGTCTGTACTAAGAAAATGCCCCACAGGCTTGCATAGCCTCATTTTATAGATGCATCGTCTCAACTGGTGCATCGTTCCTCTTCTTTATTACTCTAGCTGTTGTCAAGTTGGCATAAAACTAGCCAGGACAGTACCTTTAAACGAAACAACTTCTATATACTTTTAGAAACTGACTTATAAGATATAAACTATCAAATTATATAAGAATATTGTTGTTTTTAAAGTCTTTGTTGCTATCACAGATATCCATGTCAAGCAAAATCCTATAGCTCTTTGACTCAGCTCACATTCCCCACATAACTGCAGCATTCAAATAGCCAGAACTTGTAGCAAATGCTCTGGAACAGGTTGCATAGAAACTATGTGTTATAGAATGAATAAATTACTGAGCGTGTTACTTCAGATAGGAGCAGGTACATTCAGGATGAGCTGGCCATAAAATAGCAATTTCAAAATGTGTAAATTATGTTTTCTAACAACAAATGTTTATTGAAGTCAAAAGACATGAAATCTCTATTATAGTTCATTTTTATGACTTTTTTAGTGTGTGATATTTGTATCTATAATTTAATAGCCACACCAAAAAAGTTTGTTATTGGCAACTGAAGAACAATGAAATAGTAATTCAGAATACTTATGTGAGTTTAAAAATATGGACTGACTTTCTTGGTAATCAAATGTTCTCTTACAATTAAAGCTGCCAATTACTTATTGTCCTATGTCCAGTCATCCCATTTATATGTACCAGTTGACTTGCAGTGTTCCTTTTTTTAAATTCTAACTAGTAATGCAAAAAGCTTGGAGAGAGAGGAACCCTCAAGCCAGGATTTCTGCAGCTCATGAAGCCTTGGAGATAAACGAGTAAGTAGGGAACAGACTTGCTATTAAAATGAAGTCATGTCTCATGCTGAGTATTTTCAGTCACCGTGGATGGGACTCTTCTGTTATTTGAACTGCAGGGCTATTGCTGAGGGCATTACTTTCTAAAATTTTGCATCTATGAAAGACAACCGTGTGTGTGTGTGTGTGTGTGTGGTGTGTGTGGCGGGGGCAGGGGGAGTGTAGCAGATTAGCTGCTTTAGAACAAAGTGCCTTTACTGTGACCCCAGATTAAATCCTTCAAGGGATATACTTGGCATATTGTGAGAGCATAAGCTAAGTACACTTCCTGGCATATCTAGACAATTTTGACAGCGACCTTTCTTTCTAGATGGAGAATGCTCCTCTGTGCATCTCTGTTTCTAGGTGTAACTTCTGCTAGTGGGAAAAACAGCAACTACAAAAAAGATAAATGGTGAAAAAAATTAAAATGTTTTAATGTCAAAATGAGCAAGAGGAAACATTGCCCTTACTGTTGCTAAATATTCTATGGGTTATCAAGGAAGACTGGGAGATTTCTTCTGGAGATTTTAGAAAATGAGATTCTTAATATTGGAGTCATTAAAACAGGGTTGGCAGAATCCTTAAAGGTCAATTAGCTCAACCACCCATCTGGTGTTTGAATCACCTCAACAGGGCCCTTGCCAAGTGGTCATTGTTAAACTATTTTATGATTTTCTCAAGAAGGTTCCAGAATCTTTTCCAGAGATCTTGGAAAATAAAAGAGTCACCAAGTTTCAAATCCTGTCCCTGTAATGCTGGATCTGCATGGTTTCTGACTCTGTCATGCAACATACCTTTTGCTTTCTTACCATCTACAAGTTTAATACGCCTGCCTTTTGTGTGTCGTTCATGTTTCTGAGAAAAGTGTCAGGACTACAAGACCCTGGGGTGTGACACGTAGAAACTACCCTGCAGGCTCATGTCTTCATAAGTCACCTTCCTTCAGTGTTATTCAGCCAGTTACCAGCACCCTGTTACACTGTAATTCAGCCCACATTTCTCCATTTTGATCTTAGGCTTGCCAGCCGTTTAGAGAGCTTTAATTTATATTGTGAGTCTACTGGGGGAAATGAAGGTAACAGCGCTGTGTTATTTACTCTTAGGCGTTTAAGCTGGCTTCTTGTGGTTTCCGCTTCATTTATTTGATTTTTATTTTTTCAAATGTGCTTAGATACCATGTCTTTAACACTCCATTGGAATTTCTTTCTGAGTCACTGTTCTGTCATTTGAGAAGTCAGCCTTCTTTCCTGTTTGGAAAACTGATGCTGCATTTGTCATCTCATCCTGTGGTCTATTCTTTGTGATTCCACAACTGTCCATAGAGTGCAGTTCCATGTCCTGCCTGCAAGGTCAGTCGGCTTCCTAGAATTTGCCCTTCCCAGAACAGTAGTTCATTGAGAACGTATTAGCGATGTGCTGTCTTCCATCTTTTTACCCATTTTAGAGTTTCAATTGCTTCTCTGCACTTTAGTCTGACAGGCATTCTCCTTGATAAAGAAGCCAGGAGCAGTATGGGAGTGAGAGCGTTTCCTTTTCTCTTTATTATCTATCACTATTAACCATGACCCTTCTTTGTTTTAATGTTGTTGTATTGTCTTTGTTGCTTATTTGTTTTTGTGGTGATTTTGGAGAAATTGGAAGGGAGAACAGTAGATGTAACTTTAAAACAGAGACTAGATAGCTGTCTTCAGTGGTTTTTATATGTTTGCTCATTTTATTTATTTCGTCAAGCCTCGCTAATTTGGGATTTCAGCTCTCCTGATGTTATTCTTATGACTCCATTCCACTTCTTACAGTCCATCCCATGCCCTCTTTTCATCTTTTGTTTGGTTTGCATGTCCTTTAAGAATCTGACCTGGGCTAGATCTCTGGGAAGCCATGCTAGTCAGTTCAGTGCCGCCCCTCTGCCCTTCCTGAGAGGTGATTTGTCATTATGGTTACAGTTCAACATTTGGAAGCTGTTCTGTCCTCTTGAGCCATTTTCCATACTACATCTTGTGCCTTTGAGTCATGTCCCTTTCCTATGAATTTTCGAAGTCTACCTCCACCTCTTTGATTACCCTGAACTCTGGAATGACATAGTAACTCTCGCTGAATGTTCCTATCGGTTTTCATTTCACCAACTATTTTTTTCTTCTTGGTCAGAATTAGGTCCAGAGTTGAAGTTCCCCTAATTGCTTCCTCTACCATCTGGGAGATAAAATTGTTACCGAAGTAAGTCAAGAACTTGTCGGGTACCCTACTTCTAACCAAACAAGACTTCTAGCAGATATCTGGATGGTTGACACCCCATCACCACACTTCTTGCTTCTGTCTGTGTATTGTGTTGTGACAAAGATGCATCATCTCCATCTTCCATCGAGCTGAGAATCCTGTTCTGTCCCCCCAACCATTAGCTCTCTCCTTTTTCTTTCACTCACAAGCTCTTGGCATGTTTCTTCCCCAAACTCATGAGTTTCCACATAGACACGTTTCTTGGCTAGTGTTGCTACTCTGCCTCTCCTCCTAAGAATACTATTTGAAGTAAGAACATATAAAGCAAGCAGCCTAGCTCTAACTGTTCATGAGCTCCCAACCCACCAGCTGCAATCTTACAGCTAGTTCCTTTGACACTGTGTCCACAGTTCCTATTATCTCAATATTCAGTTCATTACTTTAAACCCATATTTATATGTGGGCATCTGAAGCCTTAAGTATTTCCTCTGATGCCTACCCAAGTAGTTCCTTTCAGTAAATCATGAGACAGTTTGAGCATTGCTATTTTTCTTCCCAAGTCATATATTTAGCCCTCCATAGTAATTGCTTTTCTAGCTTTTATTCTCGGTATTTTCTCCCTACCTTATCATATTTAGTTAAAACCGCACTGATGGTTCTCACTTGAAATTTTGGGGATAGGATGGTTCTCACTTGAAATTTTGGGGATAGGATAAAGAATTTGTAAGACTCACCCCACCCCCAAGGATCAGCTGGCCCCAAACCTAACATTATCTGTTAAGTTCATACTTTCTCCTAGCTGGCTTTGCAGTTTTCCCACAGTAACATTTAGTTTTAATTTCTGTTTATTTCCTCTCTTGTGGTCTGATGGAGAGGAATAGGGCAATGACCACAGAGAAGTCAACCAGGAGAGAGAAGGGATGAGCGCAGATCAACACCCCCATGGTCTGTTCTGGCCTCATCGCCCCCTCAGACCCTCCCTTTCTCTGACAGTGGGCTGCTCTGGATGATTTGGAAGGTTTGCATTTCTAAAAGCCTCCCGTTGTTGCTTAGTTAATTGCATATCCTTTCTGGCTTCCTACCTCAGAGGGTTATTGGAAGGGTTACTCAAGGTGATGTTTGTGCCAGGTAGAGTGTTTACTGGACACACAGCAGCAATGCTAGCTTGTTGTTGGAGGCAGGAGACTGGACTCTTCTTAGGTAGTGTGGCTGTGTCAGAGTTCAAGCTTTTCAGAAACTACTTTTCCAGGTTCTTCTCATGTTCTCTGATGCAGAAAAGCGGTGCTACCATGGGATTTTCAAGCACTGTTTCATTTTGTTTTTGTCAGTTAGTAACTTTATTTAATGAATTTTACACTCTGAAGACACTCTTGAATTGAAAACAATGCGTATCTAGTAAACGAAAGGAAACTTGTATGTACCTCTCCAAGTGTTGGAAGGAGACCTTCACTAGGATTATACTCATCATCATTAGCTGGCATTCACTGAGCACGTCCTCAGTGCTGATGGCTACAGTAAGCACTTCACAGAAAGCATCTTATGGAACCTGCACAAAGACACAGAACAGATTTCATGCTGTCCATCAGGGAGGCAGAGTGATACCTTTCCCCAAGTGACACATTAATAAGGGGCCAAGTCAGACCTGAGCCCCGTGCTCCTAACACTGCACATCCTACCTCTCAAGCTAAACTCTAGGCGTTTCTTTCGTACCATTACTGTGTCAACAGCTGCAAACAGGTGCATGAAACAGTTGGTCATGCTGCATGTTTGGTGTAACTCCTCCTCGCCTTGCTGCATGAGCTCCCATGGTCTGCTGCAGTGGCCCTGGATGTGTAACTTGTCATGTCTGAATGGACAGGTGTGCAACGGCTTATATTCTCTTGGCTGAAGAAGAAGCAACAACGATAGCTGAAGCAGAAAAGCTCTTTAAGCAGGCCCTGAAGGCTGGAGACGGCTGCTACCGTCGTTCTCAGCAGCTCCAGCACCACGGCCCCCAGTATGAAGCTCAACACAGTAAGGTTTCCTCGGGGGTGGGGGGTGCACCGGGGAGTGGGGATGGTAAAATGGGAGCAAGAGCAAAGGCTCACTCCAGCACAGAAGCTGATTCCGGTAGACAGAGCACTCCGTCCACAGTCAACTTGGTTGCCGTTGTGTTCACAGTCTTTGTTTTGTTTATGCCCACACAGTTTCATTGCCGTACACAAACAGCAATCACCTTTTAAGCAGTTTTTTGAGATTATAATTCAATCTTTTCCCCCATTCCCTTTCCTTCCTCCAAACTCTCCCATGTACGTCCCACCACAATAACTTTTAATAGTCAGTCACTTCTCCCCAGAATTCCTACATAGTTCTTCTGTTCAGCAGTTAAGTCTCCATCTCCTAACTTTCAGGCCAAGTTTGGTAACTGAACTTAAATTGGTTGTTAGTATCATAAAAAAAAATGTTATCTTCTAAGCCTTACATAGCATGGGTAGAAGCATGGTTGAAAAAGGACAGTTTAGAGTATAGCTTTTGTTGGTTATAGTCTACCAGCATTTAGTTCTTATTTAAGAATCATTACTCTTGCCTTGAGAAAGAGCCATGAGTTCCTAATTATTATTTTATTAAGAATAATACTTTTGGTAAAATAAGTCCTTAAAGGCTGAGGCCCTCTACTTCAATACCCTGAACTGAGAACCCATGATGCTTTGTGGGGACAGTATGGGCGGAGGACAAAGCAATTACTGGAGTTCCCCGAGCCCCTTGACTCATCTCGGTTGGTTATTTAAACAGAAATCCAGTGATCCTTGTGGGGAAAAAATGTTTTCATGGTCTGACAAAAATGTGGGTTGTTTCTTTTAGGTAGAATTTCTCTCACTTCATCTCTCTCTCCTTTAGTTTGGAAAGTAGGGGTATATGTCCTTCATACTTGATATTATATAATTAAATTTTAATATTAAACTTGGATTTGGTATAGAACCTGACTGACTCCGTCTCTAGGTCTCAGGTGCCAGAAATATCATTACATTATAGTCCACACGTGTGGGAGCACATCCACACCATCGATACACACGTTTTCACTTTTGTTCTGCAGTGAGTCTGTATAGCAGTAAGGTCTCTGATCATTACAAAAAGACAACAGTGCATTTTGAAGGTGTGTAGTAAATGTCTATCTTGTGAGCTAAATGAGAATTAATACATAAACTACATTTTCTTTCTTTTCTTCTCTAAATTAAATCCTTTCAACCTGTTGCCTAAATCTATCCAAAAATATAATCACATCTTTAAAATAATTTGTAGGTACTTGGCAGTTTTTCAGCACACATCTTGTTCTCATTGTTTAAAACTTGAAATGTTCAGACTTTGGTCTCAACATCTTTTAATAGCTGAGTATCTACATGTACTTAATTCATAACAGGTGTGTCATAGTTTTCTCAAACACGGTAATTTTATTGAGGATTAAGCATATGCATGTTCTCACTGGTCTGGAAACATATCCAAGATACATAATTAAATAAAAGATTAAGATAAGAAGTTGCTAATATACTTTTGAAGGGCCGTTTTAGTGACTATTGTTAGAACTGTTTAGCTTGTCAGGGCTTTCTCTAACACTAGGGTAGTTTTTCATTTTGTTGCATACTCTATTGTCATATCTGGAATGTGTTATATTGCCATCTAAAACCAACTGCTTTTGGGACCTGGAGATGATTATGATGTCACTAGTGTTAGAGAAAGAATAATATGAACCAGAAGTTCAAGAAGAAGCTTCTCCAGAGTTAATGTCAGGAACGGGAAAAAAATAGTTCATCAGGATGCAACCTGAGATTCACCTCTGCATCTTTACCAAAAGCATGCAGACTTAAGGAAGATGGAATTCTTGCTTGTAAACTTCTTGCAATGTTGGTGTGTTCATTTTCTTGGCTGTGTGTGACAGAGATTTTATTTATTATCAAATATTCAACATGCCTAACTCAAAAGCACAGATTAGGTAATCAGTCACGATTTTGGCCTTTGGGCATCAGAGTACTTTTGCTTTACCCTGTATTCATTCTATTATTAACAAAATTAGTTCTCTGTGCTCTTGGCAGTAGGGAAGGCCAAGAAGCAGACTGTGCTCTTTGAGGAATTTCTTTAAGGGTAAGGCGAATGGGCCTCTGCATTTTTTTCTTGCTGGGTAATTTAAAGCTCTTGTTTTTTTATTTATTTTTTTAAATGCTGATGTTTTATCTTTCCTTTCTCAGGACGAGACACCAACGTCTTGGTTTATATCAAGAGAAGGCTGGCAATGTGTGCCCGGCGACTTGGGAGGACCAGAGAAGCAGTGAAAATGATGAGAGATGTGAGTTTACGTTCCTGCTTGGGCTTGGCAGCAACACACCTCACAGAATGGACCTTGAATACAGCCAGTGATAGCACAGTGGTCTCATGGGCTGCAAAGGCAGCTTCCAGCTGGCAGGGTGAACAACCTGGGGCAATTTAATTAATTTCTGTGCTCTGTTTTCCTTGTGTGTAAGGTAACAGTAGTTTTCACAATAACCTTGTAAGATTCATGTAAGATTTAAATGAGATAATACACACCAAGCATTTAATATAGGGTCACTGGCATATTTTTAAAAATCTCAGTAGATATCTTATTAGTCAACCTTTGGGACTGTTGCAGGAAACCAATAATGAGATTAGCCATTTTAGATAATTTACTTCTTTATTTTTAAATTTTGTTTCAAGATATTATTATGTCTAGCAATTTAATTATTTTTTATTGTTTGAGAATTTCGTACACACATATCATATGCATGACTCCATTCTCTTTTCCTGCTTCTCCAGCTCTCCCTCTATCTACCTCAACACTCCCTTCCAGTTTCATGGGACTTGGTGTCTCCTCCTGCCATGCCAGGGTCTCCTCTGGCTGGCTGGCTCTTGCACAGGTCTCGTGAATGATGCCACAGCCTCTGGGAGTTCACATGCACTGCTCCCCCGTTGTGTCTGGGAACACTACCTCACTGTAGTCATCCCCTGTGGTTCCCGAAGTCAACCCTTCTGCTCCTTCTTCTTCAGTGATCCCCGAGCCTTGGGAAAGGGTAGATGGTTTACTTTTTCAGTGTGTAGTTATTAGGAAATGAGTTATGGGTCAATCTGTTTTTACGTTCAACTTTAGTATTATAACGAGCTAATCCTACTGTAGCAATTTGAATCACTTTCCTAGATTCTTGAGAACCAGGGTATTTTATTAGTTGTTGTTATCATAAGCACTAAGAAGAGGGGATGGAGAGATGGTTCAGTAGTTAAGAGCACTGGCTGCTCTTCCAGAGGTCCCAAGTTCAATTCCCAGCACCCACATGGTAGCTCATAATCTGATGCCCTCTTCTGGTCTGCAGGCATACATGCAGACAAAGAGCCTGCATACAAAAAGAAAAGAAAAAAGACAAAAGGCGTTGTGATTTGACTTATTGGCAGAGAACATGCAGAGCATGGAAGAGGCCCTGGGTTCCAGTGCAAGTGCCAAAGTTGTGTAATAAGATACAATTTAAGGAAGAAAGAAGAAAAGATACATGCAGGAGGGAAGCGGGGAGGTTGTACGTATGTGCCTACAAGACAGACCGTGGTTTCAAAGGAAAACGGTTTAGGGAGCTTTTGTCTCCGTTTTTGGTTGTTGTCATTATTAGTAAGAACCATTTCCATAAAAAAAAAGCTGACTTCAATGTGAATTGCATCTATAATTTTCCTTTTAAAAACTATCTCAGGAATCCCTTGTCAACATTCCATTCTTCTCCTGTATTCCTGAGTTAGCGCACATAAGTAAGAGCCTTTCTAAAGGAAAATGACCCAAGGGCCGAACAGCGTGGCATCCCGCTCTATTTTGAGCTCGTGGGTTGTGCCTAGGCCTCTGCAGACCTAGAGCCTTGCTCAGCTTGCCTCTGGAGGGGCTGCTGTTCACCGGAGTTTCAGGGACTCTCTGGAGGAGGGAGCATGGCATCAAGGCTTGCCTGGTTCTTTTTGCCTGTTGCAGCACAGCAGTGCCAAGGCCCAGGTGAGGTGTGTGCTCCCCAGGCTTGGGTCTGCTACTCCACTAACAGCTAGACAGTCCCAAACTGGAGGAGAGGAAGAGGAAGATCAGGAAGGCGACATGTGCTCATCCAGGATGGAATTCTTTTAACTGAAGAGAGAATTCAAAAAATAACCATTATACCACATGAGAGCTAATTTAAGGAAAGGAAATTTCTGAGGAGACATGAATTGTTCTTAAAGTTTGCAGCTTGCAGAAATTCCATCCCCTATATAGCAGCAAAACTCTGCCAAATCACTCTGGCTGTATGCAGCCGGGACCTTAACAAGGATGGGCCTTGATTTCCTCATCTTAACTTTGTCCAGGCGCATCCAGCTTTATCTCCTTTCGTCTCTCCTCTTCCCCCTCTTCCTCCTCCTCCTTCCTCCTCCTCTTCTTCCTCTTTCTCCTCTTCTTCTTCTCACTTAGCCTTAATTAACCTGGAGCAGGTATAATACACAGATGAACGTATTTCAGTGATCTTATTGTGTGCTTAAGCGTCCATAGGAAAAGCAAGTTCTGGCTTTTTTAATTCTATTTTCCCTTGATCTTTTCTGCTTTTTTTCAGTGTATACATACAAAATCTCATATGCTTAAAAATCAACATATCCATCATGTATTTAGCGTGATTGGCTTTGGGTTTAACATGATTTTGTATCTACAATTTTACTTACTGCTCTAGCCCAAATAGAGGTTTAGAGAGAACGTCTGGGACCCCGGGTGAGACACTAGCAAGCAGTCCAGAAGCCTGGCTGTGGACTTGGGTCTGCCTTTTCTGGGGTGTGAACTAAAGGCAGCTCACTTTCTGCTGTGGGCCTGTCACAGTCCTCCATTAATAGGGACTAATCCTTCCTACCATAAGGAAAACTCTACTTGGTGAAGAGAATCCAGTTAAATAACGTGAACACACTTGGCTTGTAATATGAAAGCTTATAGTTTCCTTCATATTTTCCATTACTTAAGTTATGCATATGATTTTTCTTGCCAGTTGTCCTGAAGGACATCTTGAGATAATTCCAATTTCATTTTTAAATTAAAATTTAAGTATTCATTTTTGAAAATTGTCATAATGTGCATATTTACTGGGTAGAGCGTAACATTTTATGCCTTCACTATTTACTGATTAGATTAGGGAACTGGCAGTTCTTTACCTCAAACTGGCTTTGTTTTCTTGAGTGAATAAGTCAATCAAATAATCTCGTTTGGGTTTTCTCTACATGCCCATATATACCTACCTACATACCTATTGCATATCTATATGCACACAGATAGGTGTGACTTTTGTATTACCTACAAAATGGCCTTTCATTATTAAAATACCAACACACATTGCCTTTTTTCTGAGTTTATGGAGTGCCCATCAGTATAGACCCTGCTGTGGTGACCATATTCTTATGAGGAACAGTGCCAGGCTTGGGAGAGATGTGTTTTAAAGGGGAATATTGAAAGTGTGGTTTCAGAAACGCCATAAGTGCCCTGGCACCCCACACAGAGGATGCAGCTGGGCATTGTTGGCCAGGCCTGGCTTGTCACTCACTCAGTTGTGTGGGTCATTCTTCTCTGAGGATGACCTCCTTTAACAGCATGTGCAAAAATCATCTTGCCATAAAACGCTCTCTGATAAAATAGCCCCGTGGGTTCCAGGCAGCCTGATGATAAAACATTTAAGCAGGAAGAACTATTTTTTTCATTGAGACACAGCTACCTCTTCTCCATATGCATGAGTTTAAATTATCCTGGAGCAGATTTTAAAGTGGAAATTGGAATGCCAGTGTTTGAACACCTTCCACATTGAGAGCAGGGCCATTTGAAGAAGTTTCTCTGGAGAAGCCTCAAGGAAGGGCAAACCCGATGCGCTATAATTGAAAGAACATGAAAGGGAATTCTGGGAAGGTGGCTGAAGAGAATTCTTTTATTTTCACAATTTAAAATTACACAACTGTTCAAATAAAATATTGGATTTTGTCAGGGAAATGTTGATGAGGTAAATGCACAGTTGATTCTGTTGTCAAGATTAATAGAGTCTTCCTTCTTAAAACAACCTGTTAACTACTATGTATTCCAGGGCAATTTTTTTTTTTTTTTATCAGAACCAAAGCTCCTTTTCCATAGAACTCTTTTGCAACCAAGAGTACAGAAGCACCGTAGTGCAAAAGAAGTGTTTTGGAAATGAGCAGAGCTAAGGGGGCACGTGGGCTGTTGAGCTTTGCGGCAATGTGATGGTCATTTAGAAAGAACAGAGTTGCATTTTCCTGTCTTAATTTAAGGAAAAGTCATTGTGTTGGTTCTTATCTTTAATAGTTGCTCTATGACACTGCTTTTTCTTTTGTTTTTTCCTTTTAACATCTGCTGTGCTTGTCTCTCTCTGGTCCTATTTGAGTGTATTTGAAGTAGAATTCACAAGGCAGATGTCTGTGGTTTGACTCCTTAGACATACTTGTCAAGCTGGGTGTGAATAAACCATAGGGATGGGATAATCTGCCTCTTGAAAGAACTAACAGCTCCTGCGATCATCTGTTTAGAGCAGATGTTCCAAAGTTCAGCTCTGTGAACATTCTGGGCCATATAATCATTAGTTGTGGGGAGCTGTCCTGTGTGTTGTAGGATGAGGGGACTGACCTGTATACTGTAGTGACCAAAGTCCCATAGGTCTCCAGTTGTCTACAGACATTCCTAAATGCACCTAGGCTGTGGTGGTGGTAGTAATAGTGCAGGATCATTCCTCATGAAGGAGTACCAGGCTAGAGAATCCAGGGCTGAGTAGATGTGTTTCCATACACACTTTATGTGTGTGTTTCACTTACAGCCTGGACTCTATTTGGGCCCAAGCCTCCAGAGTTCCCTAGACTTGACCAGCTTCGGTTGGATGGCTGTTTTGCCCATATGGAATTCCATAAGGAGGTATCAAAGCACGAAGAGTAACATGTTGGAGGTTTTTGTGAGTTCCTGGTTAGAGGCCGATGTGGAATCATGACCTTCTTTGCTCCTTGTCCGTGATCTCAGATCAGTGTCTGTCTTCTTTCCCCGAATCCGTGCCTCTCTAAGAGGTGACTTGTCCCCGCTGCTCTCTGTACTGTTCCTCACGTCTCTGAAACATTCTTTTCCGTTGTTGTTTTGCTGTCCCTGCAATGTAATATCCCTTCTCTTTTCATGTCCTGACCTCTCACCGGACACAGATGTCACACTCTTTCAGAAACATTTTATACAATCAATGTAGAAAACGTTGTGACAAAATACATGAGCTAGCATAAAGGAGTGTGGTGAAAGGTTGTTTATAATCTAAGAAATAAAGCTTG